GGATGGATGGGGCCATGTATCGTGAGATTTTGGGCAACAACCTCCTTCCCTCAGTAAGAGCATTGAAGATGGGTCATGGCTGAGTCTTCCAGCATGACAATGACCCCAAACACACAGCCAGGGCAACTAAGGAGTGGCTCCGTAAGAGTGCATTTCAAGATCCTGGAGTGGCCTAGCCAGTCTCCAGACCTGAGCCCAATAGAAAATCTATTGAGGGACTGAAACTCCGTGTTGCCCAGCGACAGCCCCAAAACCTGAAAGATCTGGAGAAGACCTGTATGGAGGAGTGGGCCAAAATCCCTGCTGCAATGTGTGCAAACCTGGTCAAGAACTACAGGAAACGTCTGACCTCTGTAATTGTAAACAAAGGGTGGCTGCTTGACCCCATTCAAGTCAACTGCGTTCCTTGTGACCTCACATATTTTACTTGCAAGAGGCAGTAAGTGGAAAAATGTCAGGAGTCCTCTCTCTCTCTCTCTCTCTCTCTCTCACACATACATACATACATACATACATACATACATATTCTCTATTTTCTATTTCTATTCTTTCCTATTTTAAATGCACATATTTTCCTATTTTCTTGTTGCCTAAAAAGCACATTAAGAGCCTCTGTACCCATAAACGTGATTCTGATTCTGGTATGCCTCCCACTGGGGCAGTAGACCACACTAGTATGAACATCAAAGCACAGTGTCCTACAGGCTATATAAAACGCTCCACATGTGTTGTGTTTTTGTGGAGGTTTATCAGAGTAGTGTGGAGAAAGCAGCTAGCAACCTAAAAAGGAATAAGCTTATTGACCCCTCAGTGCAGAAAGCCAGAATACAAGGTTTTTCTGGATGTTTGGATCACACAAGCATGATCTGGCATCAAATTCAGTCAGCAAAGAGGGGAAAAAGAGATTTGCATGTGGTGTTCTTAGATCTAGCTAATGCTTTTGGCTCTGAACCACATAGCCTACTGTGGTAAGCACTAGATTATTTTAAAGCACCAGACACTGTCAAATGGCTAGTGGGAGAAAATTTTCAGAATATCCAGATATTTCACAACAGCAGAGTATAGGGCATCAACAGGAGACAGGCATCAAGGAAAGATGCACAATCTTCGCATTAGTTTTTGCATGGCAATGAAGGTTATTATTAAGGCATCCAGGTGGGTAGCAGGGCAGCAGTCGCCACCCATGACATGGGGTAGAAAGCAGTTTGACATGATGTGTTATATCTTCTGATATTTCATGGCACCCTGATGACCACTGTACAGTGATAACGCTGACAGCAATCAGTTACTGCAAGCAAACAGGGGACTTTGGCTGTCCTGTTGCCACTGAGTATATTCAACCATACCAGTGGATTTCAGTCATCAGGATGGCCTGCATTTTGGCCATATAGTAATGTCTATGAAATCACTGTGAATTTTAAGATAGATTAGGGCTGGAAAGTGGTGGTGGATGTTATGGGGCCCTCAGGTTTTATGACGGCATGGCCTGATACCCCTCTTTGGGGCCAAATAATGGGTCAAACATCATTCAACTTGAATACTGAACTTTCATGGGAATGCTCACCCATTCTTGGCAGATTTAACTGTGCATTGTGAACAGTTTTCTCTCAGTTTTTGCATAATTCATTTCTTTGATTAGCATTTAAATAAATAACAATCTCTCCTTTTAAAAATAAATAACTGAAGAAAATCGTGAGAGCCAGAATCATAATTAACAATTACACCACTTTTTTAGGTAATGTATTAAATTAAAAACAAACACAAAAGTATTAACATAAAAAACACAACTATGTACAGGGGTAACACTACAGTACGGTCACAAAAGTCTGCATAATTACTAGGGAACAAGTGAGGAATGCATGAGGAATGATCTATGCCGTTCATAAGTATTTCCCTAATAGTGGCTAATGTAGGACTCTGTATTAAGTTACTAGAGAACCAACTGGGTGATACTGTAACATTAGGAAATAAATAGTTCATAATTATGTTATAATCAATCATACTTCCCCTCTTTCTTCATGACTTGTTCTCAATTACCTGCCATACAAGCACTGTAGGGCACAAAATAGTAACTACTCATTCGTACCTCAAACATGATACTTTTGTGAACCCTAATGTACTCGCATACCATACTGATTATTTAGCCTACAAAGTGGTCCCTCTAATTTCTCTGTTGTTATGTGACCCCCTCACCTCTCCATTCCCTGTAGAGTTTGTCTCATCCTCAGGCAGTGATACAATCTGTCAGGAAGTTGCTCAGTAGTTCCGCATTACTTCATGATTACCTCATCACTGCATACAATTTATGTGTCCCCTCATGTAAAGTGACACATTATAATGAGTAGTTACTCAGTTGTACTTCATTCCTTCATGATTACCTCATCATTAAATACCATTTATGTGTCCTCTCAAGTAAAATTACACATAGTTTATATAATATGCATAAACGTTTGTTTGAATTACTGCCAACAGTAATAGCCTCTTATGATATTACACAAAATTAATTTGTGTGATTATTCAAATTTTTAACTCAGAAAGTAGCCTTTTTGCACATTTCAGGTGCCATCCCGACCCCTGAAATCACACAGTTCATTTTGCAGGAACGGATTCGGTTGCTCACCTTGTTGTACTCCACATGCAGTTTTTCTTGCTCACTCTCCAGCTTGTCTTTTAAGTTCTTCTGTTCTGAGATGTTGTCCTGGATCTGGATCATTCGCATGTTCCGCTCTGAATAGCAATAGGACAAAAATCAATAGCATGATCACAATCTATATACAGGAAAAGGCACAAGAGTGTTCTGATAGGCCCTCTACTGCAGGCTAACAGAATATGCTCTCAAGGTTACTGCCATGACCCCTCCTCCACAACCGGTATCATAGTCATTTATTTGATAAGAAAATGCCTTTAAACAGAATTCCCAAGAATATGACCAGCCTGGACAACAGTTAATGCTACAGTAGTGAACTTTTTTTTTTAACTTCCTTAAAATTATTATATTATTTTTGCACTTTAGACAGGACTAAAGCAGAGATCACACTACACTAACAACTATGAAAACCATACTTCTATCAATGCTGTAGAGTAGGGGTGGGAATGCTTACAAATTTTCAGAAATGAGTACTCACAGATTTTTGACAGCATATACATATGTATACTTCCCTATACTACCCACTACCCAGGATGCAAATTACAGCGTGCCCCTAGGGGCAGTCTCCTATACATGTGCCTATATGGCCACTACAGGTCAGGCAAGCTGTGTGCTGCCTTATTGGTATCACAGGAAAGTAAAGCATTTTTTAATATAATTAAAATTTTTATTTAGCTGACAATGTCATAGAATGGCTTATTGTCTGATATTGTTTGTTTTTTATGGCCTATGTTGTGCAAAAGTAGTGTTATCATATTTAATTTTATAACCTAACAGATCACATACATTTAAAAAAAATCTACTAATTATATCAAAATCTGTGTGTACAGTATGAGTGTAATACTGAACAGTGTCTGTAGCAGGCACATAGAGGTAAGATGAGGCTAAACAATAGCTACAGGCTAACAAGCTAAGGCTAGCAGGCAAAAACACTGGATCTACTCTACAAAGGAGACGAGCCCCTGTCCCATGTGCAGCTGCTGCAGTATCCAGTACATACGGGAAGTGTAGAAGGAGGAAGAGTTTAATACAGCAGCTCATGCTAGCATCAGCAGAACACGTTTGAACAAAAGCTCATACCCGTCCCTATCAGCACATACAGGAAGTGACAAGGGAGAGCGAGTCTGTATGAGTTGTGAGACCAGCATGAGTGGAGTGACTTTGAATGACTTTGAACAAGTTGTACTTAATGTATGGAATCAGATATTATCATCAGCCAGCTTGCAGGTGATGCAACGATACCCCTGAAAGATAAACACCATATTCCAATAGTTCCAAAAAATTTAGAAATTCTCTAATGCCTCAGGATTAATGTTACCTTAAAGGAACGAGAATTGTTTGCCATTCATGACTCACCACTAAAAGACATCTGCACTATTCTTATAAAATCTGAGATTAGTTATCTGAGAATTCATCTTACAAAGGGCCCAGAAATTAAACAAATCATTAAATATGGAAGATAAATTAAATGAATGTAAAGCAAAATTGTATTTATGGCTTCAAAGAGACTTGTCAATTTTAGGATGAATTTATTTAACAAAGATGGAAAGCCTATTAAGATGTACCTACCCATCCTATTCGAATCCCATCCCAAATAAAATAATAAAATCTATTAACCAAATGAACTTAAACTTTATATAGAGAATCAAACCACATATCAAAAAAGTGGTATGATTAAAGAAATAAAGGATGGCAGCCTAAAACTTACTGATTTTGATCGCCTTAATGGAACTCTGAAAATAAACAGGATAAAATCCTGGATCAAACACAGCAAATCCTTTTGGTACTGAATTCCAAATAATATATTTAATAAAGTTGGTGGGTTAAAACCTCTCCTCACTATAGACTTTGATGCCAATAACCTTTTAAATAAACAGTTTCACCGTCAGAGTTCCATAGACAAATTTTATTGTACTGGTAAAATATTATATGTACACAACCTTTGACCCCATAACATCACACTGTGGAACAACAGATATATACTACATCAACACAAATCCTTATTCTATAAAGACTGTCAAGAAAAATATATGGTCTGTAACTGATTTAATGGATTCCAATGGTAATGTACTAAATCACGAACAATTCTGCGCTAAATACAACTTTAACCCTTCCAAATCAGACATCACTAAAATGAAGAAGGCACTACCCCATGAATTTGTGTTTTAAATCAAGATATACTGGCACATCAAATAAATGAGCCACGATTAGCCCCAGTGTCAGTACAAGGAATCTCAATTTTGGACAAAGCATGCTCTAATAACCTCATAAGAAACTGTTTAATTTACCATTTATTTCCTAGAAGACAAAAAAGCTCAAATTATATATTAGACAAGTTTTATAAAGACTCAATAAACAAGCTACAAACCATTTTTTTTAACAATCCTATACCCCCCAGAGCGAAAGAAACACACTTTAAAATTATGAATGACATTTATCCCTCTAAAGAGAGTTGTTTAGATTACATTTCAATATTAATGATAATTTATGCTCACTATGCGAAAATGACATTGAAACCACAAACCATGTATTTTTCACAAGTGACATTGCGTATGAATTCCGGCTTGATATTCATAAATGGATAAAGAAACAAATTCAAACACTGCCAGGCCTTATTCACAGAGATGGCATAACCTTTGGTATCAAAATGAAAAACAAAAATCATGAACTATGTTGCAACACAATTCTGAGTCTAGCAAAAATTCTCATATGTAAAAATGGAATTCTAAAAGCACCCCCAAATTTGTTTTCCCAAATCAATTTAAAATATACCTAAAATCTTTAACACTAATGAAAAGAACCAAAGCTCAAAAGATATATGACATGTTAAAACGTTTTCCCACTGAATTAGATGATTAAGTTAAATGCATCTCCCCTTGAGTATACTAATTTATCCATTACATGTATTTGTTTTTTCTTTTACTTACATTTTTTTTTACTTATGTTCTCCTAGTATTGTTAACATATCTTTTTCTCTCATATTATTGCTTGTTACGGTTTCCTCTGAAACCCTTTTACACCGACCACATTGGCAAAATGTTATATTGCCTTGTTTGTTATGTATATTGTCAATAAAGCTTATAAAAAAACTTAATGTACTGAATGGTGCCAGCAGCAGCAGTACGTACAGCTACGGTAAGCCTTGAGGGTAAAACGTGTGTCTTGCTGTACTGCTTAAAGCTAAACACTGTCACACAGTACTCATTTGTGTTTTTAACACTATTTGCAGTTGAAATCAGGGCTGTACCCGACTAAGGGTTTTGTCAGTCGGCTCTTCAGTGCAGCTATTTGAGTATTGGTTCTTTTTCTTTCTTTCTTTCTTTTCTATATGTAGCCTGGATTGTCAGAAAATCGACTGGCATGAATTTCAGTGATGATTTCAACCATATTAACGTCAGTATTTAAACGCAAAAGAGTGACAGGAATATATTTCTGAGCATTTAAAAATCAAAGACAGCTGCAGAGGCAAGATTTAAATTGCAACCTATTTAAATTAACAATATATAATGCGAGTCCTGACTGTTCAGCCCTAGTTGAAATGCTTTAATTTATTTAGGTGGTAGTTAAGTTGGCATCATATAAAAGGTAGGCAGGAGAATGTGAAAGCCTTTTTTAGTGTCGGACTTTTTGCAAGCAACATATGACTATTTCCTGGTGTCAGTATGTAGCAGCATAAACTCAATTCATACTGAACCTGCTAAATACAGTATACTAGTATATACACTGATTTGTTAAATTTGGAACAGCACTATAATTAGTGGCACAAAGCTCAAAAAACAAATTGTGAGAACTGTTAGGATTATTAAGCTGCAAACTGAGCTCTTGTTATAAATCATGACAAACAGGTGCAGAATGGAAAAGCGGCATCTTGTGCAGCAACATTCTGGGGGCATTACAGTTGGATCACTAAATCTTTTTAATTAACATAATGAAATATCAAAGTACACAGAAGCTATGAACACAGCAGACTGCATTTTCACCTGCTTCTGACAGCCTGTCTGATCAGGGCAAAATCCCCACACTCAAATGCTGATGTGTGTAGTTACCACAATTACCAAATGATTAACATAAATATTCCTTACACAGTCTGCTATAAGACTGCTTCCTGAGTAGCATGGGGAATAGCAGATGGGTTTTTAATAATTAAGCTTTTGAATTCAAAGTAAAATCAGATACTGTATCTGCTATCACAAAACACTGTGACTGGTCGGTCCACATGGCAAATGGTCTCAGACCGGCTCTTTGCACCAGGGTTTGATTAACAGCTTTCTCACCAAACCAAACAAATGCACCAGAGTTTAACTGTACCAAGAGGTCTTGTGAAAGCACCCTTGAAAAGGGTCAAGAACGAGGCAATAAAACCAGTGAAATTAGCATTTTCTTCCACACATTACTCTTCTTATTTTACCCACAACACAACTAGACAGGCAACAGTTGGACTGGAGATTGCAATGTGTTATGCCAATAGCAGCCGACTAAAAGTAGAAATTAGGAGCAAGGTACAGAGGTCTGGTAAGCACACATCTTTCTATCTCCATATGTCCAGATCTTTTGCCATTTTCAAACATGAGGCCTTCAGCCCCAATTGATGCTGATTCAAGTGACACATAGCAACATTTGTCACTTCACTTACAGAGCACAAAAGGTTTTATAGAACCTTTTTCGCATATGCAGTAGCATTCCACAGAACACCTGTAAACAGAAAGTGGAAATCTGTGCATTGCCTTGTATTCTGTACCGTTGTACAAAATGCAGAGTGACCATCAGCCAATCAGAGCAGCGCATGAAGCCGACACTGTGCAAGTGGTATTTGGATGTTAATGCATAATTTACATTTGAGGATAAAGTGTAACTTGTCCTTTCAACAAAGAGGGATTGTAAAAAACAAAAAACATTTTTACTTTGTTTTGACACTAATTCTTAGTCTGTGTTTTCACTTAGCTGGTGTGACAATTAGATTACTTAAACACTGTTTGGTTTTTAAGAAATTCTGATTAACATGCTAACCACTTTTATAGATGAATACCAGATTAATAATCTGTGGAATGTGCAGTTTAGCTATTTATTTGCAGTAAGTATTAATTTTCTCACCAATTCATTCTAATCAGTTTTCATGGCAATAATTTTGAATAGCAGTGATCTGTAGGTTTACTACAGATCCAATTTCTTTAATATTAAGTATCTGCTGATACCGATCCAATACTTTTTTACAATAAATGTTAATTAAACATCTGACATATTTAAAATAAAATTAACCAGGCACACTGTATTTTTCCAGGAGATTCTTGATTCAAATACTGGATCAGGACTTCAATCTAAAATGTTAAGTTTATGATCTTAAATTATTGATACGATTAAAAGAATTACTCTGGAGCTGGACAACACTCTCAGAACTACAGATTCATTACAAGGCAGATACTAACTACTACTTTGTATCAACATGTGAAAAGAGTTTGTGTAACCAGTCCACTTTAGATCTCCCTGTTTGACAGTTTAATAACGCTGCATTAACAAAAGGTGGCGGCTGTCGTTGCACTAATGAACAAAGGCATAAAACTTACCATGTCTACACCAAAATCATAGCATGTGCGGCGTGTAACGTCGCTCATGCACCTCACAGGAGGCTCATGCTTGTGTCTATACAGAGCATATGTTCACTCGCGCAGAGAAAGCGTTTGGTGTACAGAAACTCATAGAGGAGCCTACAGAAACACTTTGGAGAAGGGAAAACTACAGGCAAAAACTCAGACAAATAACAGATAAATAAGTGAAATACAGACTACACTTGTATTTTTATGGTGTGTCCAACCCATTTTAAAGCACAGCAAATAAAAGCTACACAAACTTTAAAAAGAACTGCTATGTTCAGTAGGATTGATAGATGATAGATCATGTGTTTTCACTGTTTTTGATATATATTTCTCTTTTTTGGTGGAGTTATGGCTGGAACTAGTGAGCTGTCACTGTTTTGGTGGATTCTGTGATGATTTCTACGTGTGTAGCCCCAACAAACTAGACTTGAAGCTAAAAACAAACTCGTGGCAATGCACATAAACCGCAAGTGATGCCAGACGCATGGGCAGTGTAGACAGCTGGACTGATCAATGTAGCAGCCTATCGGCTGCATGACGCGTGCCTCTCAAAGATAGGACTGGGTCCACTCAAATATAAGGCTGTAGTTCTTAAGGATCAAAACAGAATCAGCTTTATTCTGGATCATACTGAGCCTGTGAAATATGCCAGATCAGTATACAATACTGACACTTAGTACTGTATCGGGACATCTCAAACACTTTTGTTTTCTTACTTCTTCCTTTATATGAAGCATCCAGTATGATTTTAATTCACCGCAAGAAACTGGTTTCAAAGCTGAGAAAAAGCATAACTGTTCAAAAAAAGGGAAGAAAGGTTTAAAGGTTTTCAGCTAATTACTGAAGTTAAGATTAATAATATCTATAAACACATGGCTTGAGACATTATATTTTCTCACACTATAACCAATGTTCACTCCCAGGTGTGTGAATATAAATGTCAGCAAACTGTGACTGGAGCTGAATATGAGTTTCCTCACCCAGGTAGTAATTGACAAAGTCTGCTGTGAGAGCAGGCTGCTTGTGTTTCCTGCGTCCGTCCATGCTGGCATTGGCGTCAGATGTGTCCACAGGGAAAATGTCAGTGCTGATGCCCATCAGCTCCGCCTTCCTCATCAGTTTTCGGATGGCTGAGGCACTAGAAGTCAAAGGTCGCGGCAGCTTCTCTCGGGGTACCCACGCCTGAGGCCGGGTGTTCCTGGACAGTTCTGCTTTTGCCCGGTATTGCTGCAGGCGGGTCGTGATTCGGGCCTGCAGAAAGGACACATGTACTCATTGCCATACTCCCACATTTTAATGTTAATAAACCATCAGCCAGTTGTTGCTCAGCTTAAAGGATAAGGCCAGTGGTAAGGCTATTATTATTAAAGAGGCCATTCTACACTTTTATTTTTGGTATTTTAAGTCTATATTCTGATACTAAAACTTTTTTACTTTTACATACAGGTGCATCTCAATAAATTAGAATATCATGGAAAAGTCCATTTATTTCGGTACTTCAACTCAAATAGTGAAACTCGTGTATTATATAAATTCAGTACACACAGACTAAAGTAGTTTAAGCCGTTGGGTCTTTTAATTGTGATGATTTTGGCCCACATTTAAAAAAAAACACCAATTTCACTATTTGAGTTGAATTACTGAAATAAATGGACTTTTCCACAATATTCTAATTTATTGAGATACACCTGTTCATAAGTAACATTTTGAGTGCAGGACTTGTAACTGAGTATTCTCACTGTGATATTACTACTTATCTGAGTACTTCCTCCACCACTGGAGTAGGTGGGTGTGATAGTGTGATAAGCTGCCTACTCTTATTGTCATTTCAGCTTCTCCTCCATGCTGCTGCTGTGTGTTACAATTGTGTCATGCTTGCAGTCATGTTGGCACACTTTTCTCTGCAAATCTTGGGCCACATCGAGAGCAGTAACGTTACATACAATAAATGGCGTTCCTT